ATGCAAATGAGGCGTCGCGTACCCGGCCGGGTACGGGTAGGGTACGGGTATCGGGTAGGGTACGGGTATCGGGTACCCGATTGCGACCTCTGGGACGAAGCCATGTTGCAGGCGCGGGTGGGTTGATTCTAGGAACTTGAATTGTGAGAAGAGACAAGACGTTGGGAAATGAGTGACAAACGGTGACTCACCAGTGACTCACGGCCTACCCGTACCCGTACCCGGCCGGGTACGGGTATCGGGTACCCGGTTGCGACCTCTGGTGGGTGGGTAGGTGAGGGGGGAGACAAAGGCGGCCGGGCGTGGGTGCTGGCCACCCACCCCCTCGTGTGCCACAGTGCTGGTCGCCTTCATAGGTGTTCCCTAACAACACTTGCCCCTACAGTCTGTGCAGGCAAGACGGGGGATCTTTGTCTTTAATCGTGTGTGCGCCATCGGGTGCTGCTCGCTTACACTTACAATCTATTATAGGGATGGCCGCCTCCCCCCCATGCAAGATGGCCGCCCCCCCCACGCAAGATGGCCGCCTCCCCCCCACCTAAGATGTCCCCCACGCAAGATGGCCGCCCCCCCCCCCACGCAAGATGGCCGCCCCCCACGCAAGATGGCCGCCTCCACCCACGCAAGATGGCCGCCTCCCTCTACCATTAATGTCCAACCACCCCACAAAGAGACAAAATATTTTTGTTTTGTTTTGGGTTAAAGCACCAGTTAGTAAGGGTTGTCACGTAAACAAAGAGTGCCAATGAGTTATTACTTCGACGCTGGGAAATAAACCCACAACATTTAAAATTTTGAGTATGACGTTTCGCTGGTGATTAGCAACGAAGATGGTCGTCTTCCCTACGTAAGATGGCCGCCTTCCCTACCGCCCGGACGCCTTCCCCTACAATTACAGCAAACGATATTTGCCACTGCCCTCAATCCCTACCGATCCCATCAACCCCCGTAAGATGCCCGCCTATTCCTACAATTACAGTAAAACATTTGCCGATGCAGTCTCTCTTCCCCCACCTAAGATGTCCGCTTGAGGGAGGAGAGATGCGGGGGGGGCTTTAACCGAGTGACGTCACTTCCCCCCCCCGCGTGTCACGTGACGTCCCCTCCCCCTCACCACTGCGGGCCTCGGCTATGGTGACAACCTCCCGCTCCTCACGTAAGATGGCCGCCTTCACCCTTCCCCACCTAAGATGTCCGCTTCGCGGGGGTCAGTGCGGGGGGCGGGGCTTTAACCGGGTGACGTCACTTCCCCCCCCCCGCGTGTCACGTGACACTCCCCCCTCCCTCACCACTGCGGGCCTCGGCTATGGTGACAACCTCCCACCCCTCACGTAAGATGGCCGCCTTCACCCTTCCCCACCTAAGATGTCCGCTTCGCGGGGGTCAAGGCGGGGGGCGGGGCTTTAACCGGTGACGTCACTTCCGCCCCTTCCCCCGCGTGTCACGTGACGTCTCCTCCACTGCGAGCCCCACATAGGGTTACGTCATGCCCCTTACGTAAGATGGCCGCCTTCACGCTTCCCCACCTAAGATGTCCGCCTCGCGGGGGTCAGTGCGGGGGGCGGGGCTTTCACCGGTGACGTCACTTCCCCCCCCCCGCGTATCACGTGACACTCCCCCCTCCCTCACCACTGCGGGCTTCGGCTATGGTGACAACCTCCCACCCCTCACGTAAGATGGCCGCCTTCACCCTTCCCCACCTAAGATGTCCGCTTCGAGGGGGTCAATGCGGGGGGCGGGGCTTTAACAGGTGACGTCACTTCCACCTCCCCCCCCGTGTCACGTGACACGTCCCCCCCCCTCACCACTGCGGGCCTCGTCTATGGTTCCAACCTCCCACCCCTCACGTAAGATGGCCGCCATCTCCCTTCCTCACCTAAGATGTCCGCTTGGCGGGGGTCAATGCGGGGGGCGGGGCTTTAACCGGGTGACGTCACTTCCACCCCCCAGTGTCACGTGACACTCCCCTCCCCCGCCACTGCGGGCCTCGGCTATGGTTCCAACCTCCCACCCCTCACGTAAGATGGCCGCCTTCACCCTTCCCCACCTAAGATGTCCGCTTCGCGGGGGTCAGTGCGGGGGGCGGGGCTTTCACCGGTGACGTCACTTCCGCCCCTCCCCCCCGCGTGTCACGTGACGTCCCCCCCCCTCACCACTGCGGGCCCCACCTTAAAGCTTCGCGCGGCGCTGCTCCGGCTGCTTGTGGCGGCTGATTTTTGCGTTTTCGATTTTAACGAACGCGAATTAACAAACACATTTCTTCTCAAACCGTCTAATTTAAAGCGTAAACTATTGCACGATTTTGTCAAAAATTTAACAAGTCGCGAACAAACTTCGCTCGATTTTTTTTTTTGCTTCGGCTAAAGGCGGCGTCGTTGTTTAGCCATCTGGGTTTGGTGTTTATTTTTATTTTATTTATTTTTTTAAAACCCCTCAACATTTTTTTTTTAAAAGGCAAATACAATTTCTATTTTTTTTTTACCTCAGGCAAGATCTCTGCGGCAATTTGAGGAGGGCGGTCCGGGTGAGTGCTGTGTTTCTATATCGCAGGAGGTGTCGCGTTTTTTACAATACCGTTGCTTTTATTTGACGAAATCGTCAATAGAACAGGTGTTAAGATCCATAGTTTTATTGTTATTTGTGTGAGGGGCTGTAAGTCAATGTTGTTGTGTCGTGAAAGCCGCCGCCACCCGATTCTGATAATTCTGTTAAGGTTTGTCACGTTAACAGAACGTGGCAATTCGTTACCGCTATAAAACTGTGTTGAGAATTTGCACAACATTAACCATCTAAAGTACGACGTTTCGTCAGTAAATTACCACTAGCAACATCAGCAAATTCGTGACTAGGTAACAGCACTAACCGAGAGCAAATCCACGCATCGTTTACCATCTAAAGTACGACGTTTCGCAGGCAAATTACCACTAGCTTCTTAAGGAAATTCGTGACTATGTACAGCACTAACTGGTGGTGTCTGAGAGAATTTACACAACATTAACCATCTAAAGTACGACGTTTCGTCAGTAAATTGCCACTAGCTTAATCAGGAAATTCGTGACTAGGTAACAGCACTAACCGAGAACAAATCCACGCATCATTTACCATCTAAAGTACGACGTTTCACCAGTAAATACCACTAGCTTCATCAGGAAATTCGTGACTAGGTAACAGCACTAACCGAGAGCAAATCCACGCATCATTTACCATCTAAAGTACGACGTTTCGTCAGTAAATTGCCACTAGCTTCTTCAGGAAATTCGTGACGAGGTAACAGCACTAACTGGTGGTGTGTCTGAGAGAATTTACACAACATTAACCATCTAAAGTACGACGTTTCGTCAGTAAATACCACCAGCTTAATCAGGTGACCTCACGCGAAACATTGATGGATAATTATTGGTAGCGAAAGCCGATTGATGTAATTATGTAATTAGACCAGCGAAACGTCACCGTACTTAGTAGGGGCCGTCCATTTAGTGCGTTACGCATGGATCGGGGCGAGTTCGGTTAACCACATTCCACTCACTGTGTCCTCCACAGGGAATGCATTATTTGCTCTGCTGCGGATCTCCTGCCACCGTTCTCCCATTCACATGTTTCATTGCTTCTACATATTATTAACATGCCCTCCCTTTACACTATGGGAACCTCATTTGCCAGTAAAAATATGATAATTGGTTCTTTACCCTTCTATCTGGCAACAAAACTGACACCTTTTTACAAGGAGTCATGTTTGCATAGACCGCAATACCTGCAGTCATAATACAAACAAAAGAACATAACTCTGATAATGTGCACTGTCCTTGAAGTTGATTGGTCCACACCCGAGACAGCTTTCCTTCAATCAACTTCAAGGACAGTGCACATTATCAGAGTTATGTTCTTTTGTTTGTATTATGACTGCAGGTATTGCGGTCTATGCAAACATGACTCCTTGTAAAAAGGTGTCAGTTTTGTTGCCAGATAGAAGGGTAAAGAACCAATTATCATGCCCTCCCTTTGTTAATGCTACTCCCCTCCCTCCCTTTGATGCTGCTGATCCTGCATAATGCATGGGCATAATATGACTTTGAAACCAACCCGCCCACCTCCTACGCATTTCTCATGAATATGCTAAATTCTTCTTGATATGCACATTCTTTTTGTTAAGGCGCTCTTCTTCTTCCACCTCCAACTCGGCTTATATATAAGCTCCTAGCTTGGCAGTGTCTCATTCTTCACCTGAAGACGGCTGCTTGCGTTGTAGCCGAAACGTCGCGAGAATTATTTGATTTTATTATGTTTTATTTTTAATTTTTTATTACTTCCCTTCTACGTGACTTTACCGAAAGAACCAAGAAGATGAATCCCTGCAGTCACGAAAGCTTTAAATCGAAATGGTCTAATTTTGATTTGAAGCTTTCGTGACTACAGGAATCCATCCAAACGCTTTGGTTCTGTGGGTAAAGTCCACGTAGGTAGTAAATAAACGAATAGATGATGACGTTTCGATCGCAACACAAGCCATTGTCATCAGGTGTGACAAGATCTAATAGTTGTGTGGAGAAACCCTCCCCGTAGAGGCGGTTCAAACTTGATTTGAATATTTCGTGCTTGCAGGAAACCATCTGTACTTTTTGGTTCTTTGGGTAAAGTCACAAACTCCTTTTGGCGTCATCTGGTCCAACACCAGTGGAGACTAGGCTCTAAGAAAAGCTGTCTCGGGTGTGCACCAATCAACTTCAAGGACAGTGTGCATATCATCATTATCAGAGTTTATTTTTGTTTGCATTTTGAATGATTGTGTTGTGGTTATATGTGTTAGTTTTTGTGCCAGATAAAAGGGTAAAAACCTATGTCTCTTTGTGTGTGTCTCTCTCTGTGTCTGTGTGTGTCTCTCTCTGTGTGTGTCCCTCTCTGTGTGTGTCTCTATGTGTGTGTGTCTCTATGTGTGTGTGTCTCTCTCTGTGTGTGTCTCTCTCTCTGTGTGTGTCTCTCTCTGTGTGTGTGTCTCTCTCTGTGTGTCTCTCTCTGTGTGTCTCTCTCTGTGTGTGTGTCTCTCTCTCTGTGTGTGTGTGTGTCTCTCTCTCTCTGTGTGTGTGTCTCTCTCTCTGTGTGTGTGTGTCTCACTCTCTGTGTGTGTGTGTCTCACTCTCTCTGTGTGTGTGTCTCTCTCTCTGTGTGTGTGTGTCTCTCTCTGTGTGTGTGTGTCTCTCTCTCTGTGTGTGTCTCTCTCTCTCTGTGTGTGTGTCTCTCTCTCTGTGTGTGTGTCTCTCTCTCTGTGTGTGTCTCTCTCTCTGTGTGTCTCTCTGTCTCTGTGTGTCTCTCTGTGTCTGTGTGTCTCTCTCTCTCTGTGTGTGTCTCTCTCTCTGTGTGTGTCTCTCTCTCTGTGTGTGTCTCTCTCTCTCTGTGTGTCTCTCTCTCTCTGTGTGTCTCTCTGTGTCTGTGTGTCGCTCTGTGTCTGTGTGTCTGTGTCTCTCTGTCTCTGCTTGTGTGTCTGTGTGTCTCCGTGTCTGTGTTTTGCCTCTCTCTCAAATGTAGCTCTACCTGATGACGGTTGCTTGTGTTGCAATCGAAACGTCGTATTCTATTATTTAACTTATTTTCTTTCTACTTGCCACGCTCATATTACTCATCCTCAATCTTTTCAGCTTGGATTAAATATCGGCCGCTCTAACCCAGCTTAAATATATGCTCCAAGCTTGGTGGTGTTTCATTCTTCACCTGAGGACGGCTGCTTGCGTTGTGGCCGAAACGTCGTGAGAATTATTTTATTATGTTTTATTTTCATTATTTTATTACTTCCCGTACAGGGAGGGAGGGGTAGAGGTCTCAAGTTTTGACAGATTTATTTTGTCTACGTACTAAATGGGATTGCACCTTACATTGTAAATGTTGTGGCTTTACTCTTCAACACACCGGTAGGCTGAAGTGGTATAATTACGCTGCACTATACACTACACGCTACACTACACTAGTAACTCATTGGGTCGTTATTTATTGGCTGTGGCGGAGGGTTAAGACGCAACATTTATACTTAGACGCCCATCTTCGCCCGGGGATTGGCGATGTTCACACAACCACAGCAGTTACTCGTTTGAGGCTGAGTCGACCTAGGGGAGGCACAGGACCGGTTGAAATAATCGTCACCGGTGGTGGCCGCGTTTCCCCCCCCCCCTCTCCTGGTTTGTTTATACCGCCGGTGCATAACAGGCGCTATAGGTTTTGCTACGGCTGCGATGGGTAGACTATGCAGGATAATTCAGTGACATTGTTGTACTCTACTGCTCTATGCTCCCACTCCACGTATCAACGTACCCCCCGCTGTGCGTGATGACCAAAGTGGTGAAGTATGGTCATTTTACCTCCACGAGACTGTGCAGGACAATGCAGTGACAATGTTGTACTCTACTGCCCTATGCTCCCACTCCACGTATCAACGTACCCTCCTGCCCCAGCTGTGCGTGATGACCAAAGTGGTGAAGTACGGTCATTTTACCTCCACGAGACTGTGCAGGACAATGCAGTGGCAATGTTGTACTCTACTGCCCTATGCTCCCACTCCACGTATCAACGTACTCCCCGCTGTGTGTGATGGCCAAAGTGGTGAAGTATGGTCATTTTACCTCCACGAGACTGTGCAGGACAATGCAGTGACAATGTTGTACTCTACTGCTCTATGCTCCCACTCCACGTATCAACGTACTCCCCGCTGTGTGTGATGGCCAAAGTGGTGAAGTATGGTCATTTTACCTCCACGAGACTGACAGTGACACTGGGGCAGTCTCTCATACAACATGTGGATCTGACAATACTGGGATGTGTGTGCATTGTGCAGACAGAGTGTACGAGTGGATATTTAATGGCGATTGGGATTCATGAATCCATCTGTGCGGAAGCTGCGAATAGTGTTTGCGGGTTAGCGCTGCGCTAGGAACCCGAGTTTATCTGAACCGGTCCTGGGCTTCCCCTAGGTCGACTCGGCCTCAAATGAGTGCGGTGTTCATCTTCTTGGTTTTTTTCGGTAAAGTCACGTAGAAGGGAAGTAATAAAATAATAAAAATAAAACATAATAAAATAATTCTCACGACGTTTCGGCTACAACGCAAGCAGCCGTCTCCACCTGAAGACGGCTGCTTGCGTTTATTTTATTACGTTTTATTTCTATTGTTTTATTACTTCCTTTCTACGTGATGACTTTACCGAAAAAAAACCAAGAAGATGAATCCCTGCAGTCACGAAAGCTTTACATCGAAAATTGAGTGCGGTTTGTTGACATCGCCACTGGGGAGACAAAGGCGGCCGGGCGTGGTGCTGGCCATCCACTCCCCTCGTGTACCACAGTTCTGGCCTTCATAGGTGCCCGCTAACAGCACTTGGCCAAATAGTCTGGTAAGGCTACATAGGGGAGCTTTGGGGTTTGGTGGGGCTTTCTTCCAGCTTCCGCAGATTTCTATCACGCACAAAGCCATTACTGTAATGAATAAAAACCCGCAGAGCCCCTTAGACTCACACTGCAGATTTGCTACAGACTCACACAGCAGA